GGGCCAGAGCAAACCTCCTGGCTGCCAGGAACTCTGCATGCTGTCCCTCTCCACTGTGATCCACTCACAGCCTTTTCACTCAGCTCCCAGTCCAAGCCTGAGGGCTATTTATGCCCCATTCCTGTTCCTTGCACACACTCTACACCCTCCATCTCTCCAGAGCCACTGGTTCCACAGAACTCTCAGCCTGCAAAGGAATCCAGCAGAACTGACAGAGTGGGGAATACAAGATAACGACCTCAGTGGATTCCAACTGGGCTGAATCCCTCTTCATTTGGGACACTGAGCACCGAGTGGACAGCTGCCAGCACCACTGCTGTCTGATGGGGTCTGAGGCTGAACCCAGGGATCAGGTATGCAATAATGTGAGAAGAGCAAGGTGAGGCAGCCAAGAAACCAGGAATTCAGACTGAAGTTACTGACCCAGCCTGAAGGTGTTTATTGCACCTTATTGCATCTTTGGAGGCACAAGACAACCCCTGAAATCTAGCTACTTTTAAAGGAAGTTAATGGATATTGCTGAAGAAAATAAAAGGCTTCTCACCAACCCCTGAAATCTAGCTACTTTTAAAAGAAGTTAATGGATATCGCTGAAGAAAATAAAAGGCTTCTCCTAGTACAGGTAAGCTTTATCCTAAAAGTTCATAAGCCAAACCAGGAGAAACAGAAAGGATGATGCAGAAACGAGGCTGAGTCAGCAGCACTGATGTTATGTACCGTGTTTCTCAGCACACTGTGTTTCCAGCTGAACAAGGAAACAAACAGAATTAAAAGTGAAACAGGACTGTTCCCAGGATCTCCAATATCTACCAGAACACTACGAGCTTATCAATTACTGTGTTTGGTTTTTAAACCATGCAAGGCCAAGCTGAATTGCATTAGTGCACCATGAACTAGGTCGTGGTGTCTGTGCTGTCCCCACAGCATCCTCCCCACCCGGCACACACACTAATGCTTAATTACAGAGCCTCAGGAAATGAGAAAGGCAATAAAGCAGGCGATCACAGCAGGAACACATTAATGGTCTTTTTATCTTACAGAATACATTTGTTTATCTGCTGTTTCAAAGGTCCAATGTGGCAATTAACTCCCGTGTTTGCAAACTGACACTAATGCTTTGTGCTGCAGCTATAATTACCATCAGCACCGGAGCAGCTCTCGTTCCTGAGACACTCTCGGGCCCTTCTGCAGGCCCCTTTGCTTCACCCGCAGCCAACTCCTTAGGTCATGGGGAATCCAGCAGCTTCCCACAAGTTAAGTTTTCTGCAGCAAACAGAAACTGGAAGGGAAACCCCTCAAAACTGCTGTCTCCTGTAGTGTTGCTACTGAAACGGGTTACACACAACTCCAATGGGAGAAGGATGAAACGAGCTGAAGATAACTATTTTCTTACTGCTGTGCCCAAAAACTCTCCAGGGATCCAAGCAGCAGCCACAGTGTGGGTTAGTTCATGTCCAGCATTTACCTTTGGAATGGAAGGCCAAGAAAAGGGCAAGGGAATGTTCATGTTTTTTTCTACAAATCACTGATTTGGTTGAGATAAATTCCCATATTATTCCTTTCCTTCATTCGAATTATGAATTTCTGGAAATTTTGACTATGTTTCACTTTAAGACATAATATTTAGCTCTGTCTTCTACCTTTGTAGGCAAACAGACTAAGAAATTCCCATAAACTGACATAAATAAAAGCACCCTGAACAGCTCTGCAGCATTACCAGCTGATGTACATCCATCCCATCCCAACCCAGACACACAACTTGCATTTTCAAAGCTCATTTCTCCTTACAGCTACACAGTAAGCCATGCAGAGCTGCTTCATGCCATCTGAAAAGCCTCTGAGCAGGAGTAATCCACACATTCTCTGAAGCTCAAATCATTTAAACAGGTCTTTTCAGCTGCTCAGCTGTTTAAGTTTGGTGGGTTTGGTCCTGTAATTACAAATGTGGGTTTATGTCTCACTGTCCAAGGGTAAGGAAACTGTTTGAAAACTAATTTCTTCACAGCAAATAATCTAAATGTTTTTATTATCATATAAGACCCAAATACTTGAACTAATTAGCCCTTGTACATAGCAGGAGCAGTACAGCCCAATAAAAGCAGAAATCAGAGCACAGTTAATGAAGGAATTACAGTTTCTGGTCCATTACTGTTGATACTGCACATCTATCTCCACAAAACATTTGAGTTTTAACACGCACTTAACTTACACAGACAACTTCATTTCATGGCATTTTTCCTTCCACAGTCCATCCTACTTGTTCCTTAATTAACATTTCATATACCATCCACCATCTGCTTTATCAGCTAGCACCAAAATAACATACACTTTCAACCTTTCCAATGTATGTGCTCAAAACTCTTAGCAGCACTTGAGAAACCACTATTGAAACAGTACCCATAGAGTTGGTCAGATGTATTATTTTGCATTCCTGTTGTCATGTTGCACATCTAAATTTTGTGCCTTACAATCCAATCTTGATTTTCTGAAGTTGAAATTCCAAAGGCACAGGTCAAACATGCACTTTGTTTTATAATGATAACCAGAGTGTGGAGCCCATAAAGTTCAAGTTCAAAGGGTATTTCCAACTGGAAGAAGCATTTTGGGTCTTCTCACCCCTTTCTGAACATATACACAAACATATTCCCACTTCAAGCCTTAATTTCTGGCCTTACACTTCCATTCTCCATCAAAACTAACCAAGTAAACAGTCAGAGAGGAGAAAAAAAAACAAAAGCAAGGAAACTCAGCCAACATCAGTCCCCTCATTCCATTCCCATCTACTCAGCCACATAAATATTTTTGCAGGCAGAAAGAATGACTAAAAGTACTTCTTAGCCACTCAAAACTCCTATCAGATTATCATCCTGAATTTGCAGCCCGAGCCTAATCTGTTTCCATCCCAGTCAGCACTGCCCCTCAGCATGTCACAAACGGTGCAGATTAGAAATTATCTGGGGATCCACAAAATTCATCCTAAGGAGCTCTTGAAACAGAGACACAGAGCACACAAGAGCTGAAATTATTCTCTTAGCCCTCACTGCATTTGAA